ACCTTAAGAAGTCACACCTTTAACATTATTCAGTATGCATAGAAAGTACAGTTTAAATGTCACCTACTCTTCATTTTCAGCGTGACCTACATTTACATAAAAAATATGTCTGATGACATACCTATAAGTATTACAAACTAAAACTCGACCTCATTATTCTTACTCTTCCCACTAAGTACCAGCCTACTAACAAAGTCATTACTGAATAATCGGCCTTCTTTTTTTCACATTTTGTCATATAATAATTACCAAGGCATTGATATTTTCTACCCATTGACCAAAATATATCATAATATAAAACTAATACAATAAAAATCATATCCTAGTAGTACAACGGTAGGTTGTATTGTCATTTTTTTGGTGGCTTTAAGTGATTCCTTCCTACGTCCCATGTTAATGAATTAGCTTATTATATTGAAAGGGGGCAAGTTGAGCCAGTGCATGACGTAAAGAAAACACCAAATGAGTATATATCTGTCGTTACATCAATCATGTGATCTGGTCACATGACTATGGGAACGGTTATTTTATACTTCTTTTTTCAAGTTATGGACCCATAATGAAGATTGGATTCTCTTTATTTGATTACTTACAGACTGTGACTGATTTTGTAATCTATCAATTTTGAAAGGTACTACGTTGAAGCGAAGAATTGAAGTGCCAGTCTATATAATACTGTTTCTATTGTACTCATAAGCAAACAAGACTTTAAAGCACAAATACATGTATTATATAGGTACAAATTATTGCAGTGTGCCATATATGACCCTTAATCTCCTGAATTTGTGTAATGGACATGATGGGCATTGAATTTGGAAACAGTCCATTTAAAGTTTATGATATTTCAAAATACAAAAACAACCGTAAAGAGTCGGTTAAGACATTCAGACTTAAAACATGGCTCTTTAGAATACTGGTGGCAAACACTTATCACTTTAGGAATCAGCAGAATAATAAAAGGGTTTAAAAGGACATGTCCTACATTTTGGATTTTGAACTTTCCGATTGTATAAGTAATGCTAAACACTGTTTTCAAGATGAGGGATAAAACGCATAATGAATAACCAATATCATAAAAACCCACAATTATACTGTTGTTATGTCTCGAGCATAACAATAAAATGTTTCACTCAGTTGTTTGATTGTCTAAAATAGAACGCAGTTAAGACCGCAACATGTCTTATTCTACCACAGCTATAACAATTAACATATTCCTAATTTAGATATGTGCGCTCGTGAACAAAGAATCCATTTAGTTTTAGCATTTGCTTGACAATCTGTTTATTAATTAAACCAATCTAGGCTGAATTTTAGTCATACCTGTGACTGAAATAGCTTTACTTTACACTGAAATAGCTACCTTTAATTGAAAAGAAGACACAAACATAGACCAAAGTTAGAAGATATATTTTGATGATTATATTTTGTATTATGTAAAAAGTAAATAACAAACAAGAGGGCCATGATGGCCCTGAGGTCGCTCACCTGTATATAGGCCCCCCCACCCCCGGGCCAATTTTTACCATGCTAAAAATCTAAGTTCTAGCTCTTTGGGTTTTTTAAAAGAAGATTTTTAAAGTTTTTACTATACATATAGTTAAAAACAATGACACCCCTGGGGCAGGGCTAGTTTTGACCCCCAGGCTTTTATTTGAACAAACTTTGTAGATATTTACTTAAAGATGTTTCATGCTTAATATCTAAACTCTAGCTATTTAGGTTTTTTCAAAGAAGATTTTTAAGTTTTTGCTATACACATATAAGGAAAATCAATGACCCCCCGGGCGGGGCCAGTTTTGACCCCAGGGCTTTTATTTGAACATACTTGGTAGACACCCATGAGAACATGTTTCATGCTAAATATCTTAGCTCTAGCTCTTTGAGTTCTTTAAAAGAAGATTTTTAAGTTTTTACTATATGCATATAGGGAAAATCAATGACCCCCTGGGGCGGGTCAATTTTGACCCCAGGACTTTTATTTGAACAAACTTGGTAGACATTCATTAGAAGATGTTTCATGCCAAATATCTAAGCTCTAGCTCTTATGGTTCTTTAAAAGAAGATTTTTTAAGTTTTTACTATATGCATATAGGGAAAATCAATGACCCCCCGGGGCGGGGCCAATTTTGACCCGAGGGCTTTAATTTGAACAAACATGGTAGACACTCACTAGAAGATGTTTCATGCTTAATATCTTAGCTCTAGTTCTTTGGGTTCTTTAAAATAAGATTTTTTAAGCTTTTACTATATGCATATAGGGAAAATCAATGACCCCCTGGGGCGGGGCCAATTTTAACCCCAGGGCTTTTATTTAAACAAACTTTGTAGACATTCACTAGAAGATGTTTCATGCCAAATATCTAAGCTCTAGCTCTTATGGTTCTTTAAAAGAAGAATTTTTAAGTTTTTACTATATGCATATAGGGAAAATCAATGACCCCCCAGGGCGGGGCCAATTTTGACCCGAGGGCTTTAATTTGAACAAACGTGGTAGACACTCACTAGAAGATGTTTCATGCTTAATATCTTAGCTCTAGCTCTTTGGGTTCTTTAAAATAAGATTTTTTAAGCTTTTACTATATGCATATAGGGAAAATCAATGACCCCCTGGGGCGGGGCCAATTTTAACCCAAGGGCTTTTATTTGAACAAACTTTGTAGATATTCACTAGAGGATGTTTCATGCCAAATATCTAAGCTCTAGCTCTTACGGTTCTTTAAAAGAAGATTTTTTAAGGTTTTACTATATGCATATAGGGAAAATCAATGACCCCCCCGGGGCGGGGCCAATTTTGACCCCAGGGCTTTTATTTAAACAAACTTGGTAGACATTCACTAGAAGATGTTTCATGCCAAATATCTAAGCTCTAGCTCTTATGGTTCTTTAAAAGAAGATTTTTTAAGTTTTTACTATATGCATATAGGGAAAATCAATGACCCCCTGGGGCGGGGCCAATTTTGACCCCAGGGCTTTTATTTGAACAAACTTGGTAGACATTCACTAGAAGATGTTTCATGCCAAATATCTAAGCTCTAGCTCTTTGGGTTCTTTAAAAGAAGATTTTTTAAGGTTTTACTATATGCATATAGGGAAAATCAATGACCCCCCGGGGCGGGGCCAATTTTGACCCCAGGGCTTTTATTTGAACAAACTTGGTAGACACTCACTAGAAGATGTTTCATGCCAAATATCTTAGCTCTAGCTCTTTGGGTTCTTTAAAAGAAGAATTTTTAAGTTTTTACTATATGCATATAGGGAAAATCAATGACCCCCTGGGGCGGGGCCAATTTTGACCCCAGGGCTTTTATTTGAACAAACTTGGTAGACACCCACTAGAAGATGTTTCATGCCAAATATCTAAGCTCTAGCTCTTAGGGTTGTTTAAAAGAAGATATTTAAAGATTTTTCTTTTGGTTGCCATGGCAACCAGAGTTCTGCATGGAATTAAATTCTTTGAACAATTTTTAAAGGTGACCACCAAAGGAACATTCCTGTGAAGTTTGGATGAAATTGGCTCAGTGGTTAATAAGGAGATGTTATTTAAAGCAAAAGTTTACGGACGGACGACGGACGGACGACGGACGGACGGACGGACGCCGGACGAAAAGCGATCACAAAAGCTCACCCTGTCACTTTGTGACAGGTGAGCTAAAAATGCTGTGACATATTTCTTTTAAAATCATATGGTCGGGTTCCATTTCACAGCGGTCACATGTCAACTTCTGAGCTAGAATGGTATTGAAATACTTCCCGAGCCCACTTGTGTTGGCATATTTGAGTAGAACCATTAAATTTCTATCATTAACAGATAAATGGGGAAAATGAAGATTATATTTTTATAAAGTATTGACAGTGTTATACTGGTATATTATGCCTATGGTAATAAAGTTCATGTTTTGTAAAAGGGAGGTAATTGCAAAAACAAAAAAACAACAACAACATTACATTTTTTCTACAATCCAGCTACCCAAATTCTTCAAAACAATTCGAAAGATTGATACTAAAAATGCTCCTTTGAAAAGAAAAAAAACTTGTATAAAAACTATAGAGATAGGCAGCCTGATTTTAAAATAGCTTGACACCATGATTAAACTTGGAACTTGTTAACCGCAATAAATTACCTTTCTTGCATTGTCAACTTAAAAAAAAATATAACAAATAAATTATTTTACCAACAGGAAATACAGTTTATCCAAACCCTACATCACTTTTTGTTAGAAAGCTCAAGTTTAGTTCATTAAGTTTGTTTACAATAATATCTTGTACATGTACATATACATGTATAGGATGCACCTTCTTAAACATGCAGTATTTTACTGTACTGCTTATTGAACCAGGAAGTTAATATGTGGTTGCGTGTATATATAATTATAGCCTCATATTTGGACATGTACCACTATAAATATACCATCCAGGCAATGTTACATAATTATATAAAACTTTTTTCCCCCAATATCAATGTATCAGTTTTGAGACAATAGTCTTAGAACTATTTTATACATCCTCTTCTTCCAGTTGTTATTCAGAACGGAACATTTCTTATTATGCCGCTATAAACAATGCAAGATCGCAAAATTTCCCAAGAGAGGGTAAAATCAATCTGTTGTCAATATAACATTGTACAGAGTATCTCTAAATCGGAACATACTTCACTGTAACATAAAGCTATTTACTAAACAAGTCTCCCCAGGATCAAAATAAAAATTCGGGAATTACTGCAGCTATAGGAATAAATGCCCTAATATATATATATATAAATATATATTTTCACCACTGACCCCCTTACATTTCATTCAATCAACCTTTAAAACATCATTTTCTTATCTTTTGAAACCCCCCCCCCCCCCTTTGCCTGTGCCAGACTTTTATGACGAAAGGTGTTCTTTTTAGCCTACATACTAATTACTAGTATATGCTATACTATATATATTTGTTCATATATATCCATATATTGCTGCCGTACCTATATTTGACAAGTATTTTGCTTAAAAGAGCCTTACCGCTGTTCCTGTTTCCATATTAGGTACGAGGGTCAGATGACTGCCGTCGCTCACTTGATTATCCAATAAATTCCCATGCAGTAATAATCTGAAAAACATAAGATCGCATACTTATTTTAATTGTGTATATAGACTTATATAGAGAAAATCAGTATAACCATTTTCTTCCTGTATTATCTGCATGTAACACAAGCTCAGTCGGAGAGACTATTTTAGATTCAGCACAATACTATGACATAATAAAATGTTACATCCACTAATTTTATAATAAATGGACTTGCTCCAATTCGACTTTGTAACTGTGAAATGATATTTCAAGAAGTTTTAAAATAAACTGGTCAGAGACTGGCATTGAATGTACACTAACCAGTGAAAATCCAAAGATTTGAGACAGAGCTTAGAAAAAAAGTTTTATAATCTTGAGGCCCGGTCTGATAAGCAGGCAGACCAACGGGTTTTTCAACCGTTTTTGGTCAGCCGAGACACACACTGATTCATTCAGTGTTGCCTGCATGTGTGTGGCCAAGGTAGAGCGAGCAGGGTCAACTGGCTGTATAATACCAGTGGTGTATAATTCAAGCGCACACTGATATCCAATCAAGTCTGGCATAAAACCATTGATATGAAAATGGCACCATGTTCCATAGAAATTTCCGGATAACATTTTTCAAGATCCATCATAACTCGGCAGCTATGACTCAGTTAAATTGAATATTTACAGGAATTGAATATTTCTCTGAGAATCGCAAAGATAAATTAACTTAAAATGAGTGTGCAAGCACTATGAAAAATAGATCATCTCAATACGAGATAAAGTCCCAGGTTCTGACATCATTCCATTATCTCTTTTATTTTGTTTTAACAGTGACAATGGATTAATTGTTGATATAAAGTCAGATCAGCACAGTCTGACCAAATTCCATAATATTATACACAATTTTAGCTTTGTCATACCCAAAAAGTAAGTATACAGGAGTAAAATAGAATAAATCTCACTGATTTATTCCAAGAACTATTGACAAAAAAAAAACTCTTATATTTGCTTGTTCTTATCAAAACCAAATATTTGCATTTTATATAAAATGCTGTAATTGATTACCCTACAGAACAATATCCAAAAATAAGTCGTTTTTTTATGTAGGATGTTAAGAATAAAGGTCAATTTCAACTCAATAAAAATACTGTCTGGGATAACATTATGTCTTAGGGCCTTGTAGATGATATGCCAGATATGATATAGTTCCTAATTGGATAGAAAAATACCCACACTGCCCACTGACAAATCATTAAATCTGTCCGATTTAATTACAACTCAAAACTTTATTGGTTAAGTAAAAAAAATCTCTTTAAGTAAAGACCTATAATTACACATGATTACGGCTAAAAAAAGACGCAGTTCTCCTATTGCAGCATAAAAATAGAAGCAGATAGCTGGGTTTTGCTGCGGAAGGGAAAGAAACCTCCGCACATTTAAGTCTGAATGAATGTATGAAACAAATTCTATACATCTTAAAATGAAACTACTTTTCTCTGGAAAATAATAAAAAAGATTCAGATTCTAGATTCATTGTATCCGATCAACTAAGATCAATGTTAAATGCTGCAATTATGCAATGTAAAGAGAAACAGGGTCCCTCGAGGGCAAGAGTGGGAGTCTCATTTATTCACTTTTAGAAAAAAATCTAGGTCACTAATTTGCCTTGTTATTCAAATCACTCCAGATACAAAATTGCCAGTGACATCAATATGTCTGATGATGATGATAATAATTATGGCTTAGTTACATATACAAGCTTTTATAGGCAAATTAGCCCCAACCAAAAATCATCCCATTTTAGGAATAAAAAAAAACCATTTATCAACCCTTTATGCTACGGAATTACATTTGGAATTATATATTGTACATTTGTACATTAATCAAAATTTAGGTTCTTTATCAAATTAATTAGATAATGGGCAACCGGTTGTGTAGTCCAAAATATTAGACATACAGGCTAGCTAGTCAATGCTAGAGCCTGGGTGGCACTTTCCACTGAGTACTGTCAATGAACAGGCTTGGATTAATCAAACCTAGCTGCAACATTTTCAGTTTTGCCGTTTGGTCATTCTTTTGTGGTTCTTTTTTTTCTTTCTCTCTTTATAATTATGTTGAGCTTTGCCCATAAGTTAAAATATTAAAAGTGTTATTTATAGGCCGTCCAGTAGTATCAGGTCTGTACAATGACGTGCAAGCTTAATACGGTTTTATATGGGAGGTATATAAGTTCTCATTAATATCACAGGATCAAATGATAATGTACCGGTTATATGGTTAGGCCTTATCAACAGTTTGTTTTTTTAATTTTTGAAATAAACTATTTCACAATCCTAGGAGGAAGTGTTTAAATTTTGAAATAGACTTAAACCACTACTGCGCAATCAATTATATCTTTATTGTATATCCGATTACAAATACTTACAAAAATAGCTGCTTAATGTAGATTAATAGATATGTTTAAATATTTCAAAGTCTGTCGCTTTTTTTCTAAACTTCCTAATATTTATGTTCATATCATATGTATAACTATAAAATTTTCTTAAATGACGTACAAATGTTTTGATTTGGAAATAACTGTATTGTTTTGATATTTAAATCTTGAAATCAACCCTTACTACTATGCTAAATATCTTAAATAGACTTGTCCATCTTTAATCAAGGATAAAACCATTCATTATTTTTAGGGAAAATTTTCAAAATCAGTACTAGCTCTAAGCTGAAAAGCAAACAGTGCCTACCACGATCAGACGATTAATCTTGGTCTGCACTGGTCGGATAGACAGATTCAGTTGACGTCAGCAGGAAAATATAGAATTTAAAGGTCCGCCAACTGTCAGACTACATGTACATTATAGGTATTGTCATTTACTTATTGCATATTTAGTACATGTATATTATATACCAATTTACCCGTGGACTTCTTGTAATGGATTTGTCAGGAACATGTTCAGGACGTCCATTCTAAGTTGAATTAGTGATTATAAAAACTAAACTTAAACCTTCATTAGCCTGGTCAGAGTCTGCATAGGTAAGCAGGGTGCCTGTCTCTCTTATATATTGGTTCATATAAAAAAAATTATAATAAAAAAATCATGTCAGGTATAAGTAACAATTTTAATTGCATTTGACCCTTAACCTTCTGCGAGCCTAAATTGCCTCCCGAGTAAATTAAACAATATAATATTACATGCACCACTAATTAAAGTAAAATCAGTCTTTTTAATCAAATGCATTCAGCTAGACAGTTTAAAGGTTAGTGTTTACAGATCGAGAAATATAAAGTTAACTGCGAGAAATATAAAGTTAACTGCGGGCAAGACATTATGTGTGTAGGTTTTAGATCTCCATAAAGATTTTGTGTGGGAGAGAATGCGATCAAGGCCAGTTACACTTAGATCAGCCGTCTTTCTTTCTTTCTACATATACATATATTGTCACCTAAGTGCAATAACTGGTTAACTACGATTAAATTCAGAATGACTTAACCCATTACTGCACAAAGATGGCGATATTCTTGTAAATATAATTATATATATATATATATTTATAATGTCAGTTCATCTGTAAAATCCTGGCTAATGAGTTAAAGCAGGTAAATTCTATATACTGTGGCTTGCAAAATTTTCATATTTTAACTTAAGTAAATTTAATAAATAAATTTCAATACTTGATAATATATAAATGGTCAGCTAATAGCAAATCAGTTTCACAAATTCAGCAATCTGTTTCACAAATTCAGCACCTCAAGAAAAAAGATATCAGGGCTCAGGTAACTATAATAGGGTTTAAGATAAAAATCAAATATAGCACGGGTGTCCCCAGGAGGGCGATCACCAAATATACCTATGCACCAGTTGCAGACCATTATTTTTGTCTATAACATCTGTGCCATCTGATTGTGGTCTGTACAGTTAACTTTTTAATCAGTACATGTTTTGAAATTTTTCCAAAAGAGATGAATGATTTTGTCCAAATTTTAAATGTTTAAGAGATATTTAGCGAGGTAAGGATTAAATGCTGCAATATACTTTCTTTTTTACAAAATACATCAAAATCCGGGTTCTCACTATTTATAGAAAATTTTGCTTTAAAAACATAGATTTCGCAGTAAACAAGTTACCGGCAATACAACATTAATTTTTGTATTTATTCTGAGCTCAGCTAGTTTGACAGATATACTTCAATATAATTTGAATCAAGAAAGAGACAAAAAAAGCCGCCCTTAAACTGCAATTTTGTTTACAATGTAAATCAAATAACTCCCACTTGAAACTATTGACAAATCATTTTTACAAGGAAGTTTTATCCGATCTGATATCGCAAAATCACTTTACGGCACATTTTTATCCCCAAGAAGGAAACAATAACACATCGAGAAGAGTCAATAATCAACGCAGCTCAAAATCAAAAAAAAATCAGACGCAAAATAACTATATGATATCCAATAATGGTTTTTAGCGCGGAAGTAAACTCCATCGTTAGCGTTAATTTTAATTGCACTTTGTCTCCGAATAAGTGATCATGTCAATAACTCCATTTTATAAAGACCGGCATAATCAAATTACAATGCGAGATAAATCTCTGTGGCTTGCCTAAATATGCATTTAAATCGAGACCAAATGCTGAAGTCAACTACAATCCAATTGTGCCCACTTTCTTGATTAAATTTTAGAAGTAACAAAAAAGTAAATCAAGAAAAACAGAACACTTCAATTCTATGTTCCTTTTTCATTATCTCGCAATTCATCGTGCAGCTATATTTGTTGATAAAGAGAGTTTATAAACATTAAAGCAGGAAATACAATCTGGTATAACAGCTGAGCTAAGAGATCGCATACTTGCGGTTTAGAGATCAACAGTGTTATCTGCAGTAAATCATCTATATACCATTAATACTTTCACTTCCCCATTAGTAAGAAGATTTACCAGTTAATTAATATGCTATAAACCGACTTTAACACCAGTATATCACATACTAGTAAATAATATAATCATTATAGGCAGACAACATTTTTCTTGAAGTCCGGCTACTTGTAGAGAAAATGGTATTT